AAGCCCCGGTCCACTGCTGGGAAAAGCAGTGCCCTGGCTGCCTTGTGACCTTCGGTGGCTCTTCTTAAGCTCTCTGCACTGACCCACGAGGGGGAAGATAATGCCACGGAGCTAGTTTCAGGTTCTTGCTCTAGGGAACAGTCTAAAGTTCGTGACTCTTCCTAGCCAAACAAGGCAGACACTTACAGATGGGGCCCAGCTCTGACAGGCAGTCAAATGCACAGACCCCAGTGGTCCCCAGTGTAGCACACACCTGAAGGAAAATAAAGGAAGTTAATGTGGGAAGGTGGGTTCATGTGACACAGTTGGCCTGAAAAAAAAGATTTAACCACAGCTATTATCTATCCTACCCATCCCACTGGAAGAGCGTGTATTTCACATTACATTTTGCCTTGACCCGCAGTAAGAAATACATTTTATATAGCAATCTAGTACATGTGTGCATTTGAAAGAAAAGTTTCACCAAACCATACAATTCTGGCTATAGGAATGCACTCTGATGGTTTGTATTCTTAATTGTTTCTTATACGGATTATGACCCACAAAATTTATTTCCTAACACACCAACAAATAGCAACTCATAAACATCGTATTTGACAATTGTTCTGCTTTTTTTTTTCAGCATGTTACTTGCCTAAATTCTGCCCAAATTCCTTCCTTGCCTCCAGGTCCTATCATTCTAAGCCGAGAACCGTTCTGACTTACAAAAACAGGCACCAAGCCCCGTTCCTTGTCCTCCTTGATGGCTTTCTGAAGAGCCTCCCCTCGGAGTGAGAAGTTGTCGTCCACAGGCAGAAACTTCATCTTCACCAGGGAAATCAAACCAGCTTTTTCCACTGAGGAGTGAGCCTAGAAGGACCATGGAAACTTGTCAGCAGAGTCCACCCGGGATGAGCACCCCCCAGAAACTGCTGAAGCCAGACTAGGGGAATCAAAAATAACATTTGCTGTGTGTCTCCCCCACCATGGTCCCTGGAGAGAGCTTCTGAGGCCTGTGCCGCCCTGAGCTCCAGCATACTCATGTCTAGAAAAAAATTACTCAAGAACGAAGATTCCAGAAGCCAAGCCCTGACCCCAGGGTTTGGCCTGTACTGGGCAACTCACCTGGTCAGAGGCATAGGCAATGAGCCGGGCGTTCAGGGAGGACTCATCTGCCCCGGGTTCAGATGCTTTCATTTCCAGGATTTTGTCCTTCCTTGCTGCCAGCAAGGCGATCAAGGTGGACTCGCTGACTGTGCTCTGTAGTGGAAGAAGGATTACCGGTGGCAGCCTCTTCCTCTGGTCCCTTGGCATATTCCCCTGGCCCCTGCCTAAAGGGTTGTCCTTTCTCCTGACTCACAGGTCTATCCCACATTCTCCGTTCACAACACCCTATGCATTCCTGGGACACCAGCCTCTCTTCCAATTGCCCCGGGAAGTCATGAAAGCAAATTTGCACCCAATACCAACATCTTTGAGAGGCCACAGACCAAAAAGAGACTGCTCAGCCTCTGCTAGATACAAATTTGCCTATAGATATGTTTGTTCCCCATATAAAGCTTGCTAAAAATAAAGAACTTCTCATTTATTCAGTTTAGACATGGAAATGGAGTTTGTTTCTAAAGGGACATTCCCGAGAGAGTGGGTTCTGGCTTAATGTGAGAGGCTGGTCACTTTGGCCTTGGTTCTGTTACCAGTGGCTCCCGTGACCTTTGGCTACCGTTACCCCTCCGGGGACTCTTTTCTGTTTATAAAATGAAAAGCACCCCTTCGGCTGCCTCCCAGAGTGGGTGTACTAATTAATTATCCAAATGAAGGCTGGACAGGACTTTGTTTTGGCCATGACTGTGGGAATCCGGTGGGCCCCTCAGCAACCTCACAGAATTCTTAAAGGTTTCTCATCATTCATTCACTTGGTCTTTGGTGTCTTTGCTTCTTGAACTCTTCCTACGGATATAGCTCCCTGCTCTCCCTGCTAAAAAGCCTGGCAGATAGCGGTATAGATCAGGTCCCACTAGATACTCAGCGTCTGGATATCACTCTGCAACAAGGATGCCAGCAGAATAGTAATAATAATAATTCGTAGTTTACAAAACGTTCTATCATCCCACTGGCTCCTCATAAAACCTCTCTGAGGTACTTGTGATTCCCGTCTACAGATGAGCATAGCAATGCTCAGAGATGTTACAGGACTGAACATGGCTGATGAATGCAGGAGGAAGCGCCATTTGGATGTAGATGAGCATGTGTTTAAATCCTTTCTTCCACTTACCAGCGGGGCAACTGGGGCATTTTTAAACTCTCTGAGCTCCAGTGCTCTAATCTCAAAAATTGGTGATGATACTATTTACCTACAGAGTCCGTGAGATAATTAAATGAAAAGCAAGATCCCGTACGGCAGACATTTAGCATGTCTCCCAGATATACTATCTGAAGTTGTAACTACAGCATGCAGTAATTTGCCTTCCTTGGGAGGATTTTAATCTCATTGCAAGACTGGAGAGGGAGGGGGAGTCATTCAGCTAGCAAATGAGCCTAGCAAAATTTCCAGGCCTCATCTCAGGTGAGCATGGCTATTTTTATTTTAAAGAAGGGCTCATTCAGGGGCACCTGGGTGGCTCAGTTGGTTAAGCTTCTGCCTTTGGCTCAGGTCATGATCCCAGGGTGCTGGGATTGAATCTTACATCGGGCTCTCTGCTCAGGGGGCAGCCTGCTTCTCCCTCTCCCACTTCCTCTGCTTGTGTTCCCTCCCTGTCAAATAAATAAATAAAATCTTAAAAAAAAAAAGAAGAAGAAGAAGAAGAAGAAGGGCTCATTGAATGTTCATATCCACTCTCTGAGGAAAACACTGTTGCTCTATTATTAGTTATTATCATGTCTATCTTAGAGGTTGTAAAACCAGGAAAATTATGTATTAGAGTAGAATTCAAGAATCTGGGGGTCCTCAAAGGTCTCAGAACCAAGCCCTCATAAATGTCAAGGTTTATAGATGCAAAAGTACACATCAGTCTGCACAGTCAACGCGAGGCGCCCAGCAAGCTCCACTATGCCGATGGCTCTTAACAACACAAGAAATCTTTGAGAAACTATCATTTGACAGATATCCAAATGACAGTGTTGTAGGATAAAATAAATCAAATGATGGTGTTCGTTTTTCTCACCGCCCAGGGTCTCCTGGACCCAGGAGGGAGGGCAAGAAGTCTCTCCTTGTCTTGTCTTTTCCTTTTACCGTAAGGTGTTAAATGATTCAAGGCAGGGGAGGGGTCGGGTAAGAAACAAAGAAACTGAATCGAGCAGTGCTGGAAATGTGACCATGGGTGGACTTCTTAATCTTTTTCAAAGAAAAAGGAGAAAAAGAAGAGTGGCGGTGGCAGCCACAGGGGGAGTAGTGGTAGCGGCCGAGGCAGTGGCTCCGAGGGCCGCATCGGCCATCATGGTGACCACCAGGATAATGACGATGGCCAATGGCAAGAGGATGACGGCAGTGACAGTGGCGGAGAGGGTGACGCAGTGGCGGAGGGGGGAGCCTCCGTGGACAACAGGAGAATGGCCTGCGCCAGGGTTCAGCTCATCTTTCACTACTCAGCCCCCAAGCTGGGAGGAGCTTTGCCAAGGTAGGCACCTGCAGGACGCCTCCTCCCTGGCTGCCAGGGTGGTGGTGCAGGAAGTGCTCTGGGAGTCCCAGCATTTTCGCCAGCCAGTCCATGACATTCATCTCCAGCTCCGTGCATGCAGGGCTGGAGGCCTGGAAGAGGGAAAGCAACTTCATCCAGACAGCCCCCAGGACACCAAGATATCCCCCCACCAGCCCCAGAAACACATCTGTCTCTGCCCTGGCCCTCCCTGCATCCCCACGCTATCAATGGGAACCTGGCCTATCTCCCCCCTCCCAGAGAAGGGGTCCGTGTCAGGCCCTGTGCCCCATTCCCACCCCATCCCCCATCCTCTGCCACAACAGAGAGGGAAAAGGATGTAGGGCTTTGGATTGATGCCCCACCCTCCGTGGGGTGGAGTCTTTCCTAACTCCCAAAGTTCCATGGAGAAAAAAAAAAAAAAAAAAAAAAAACTTTCCCAAAGTTCCGTGGAGAAACAGCCCTAGAAATGATCGCTTCCATTTGGCTTCCCTAGTCCCTAAAATACCCAGGTGAGCAGCATCCTGAAGGCCAAGGGCAAGTTTTAGGACTAAGAAAGAAAGCACTCCTTCCTAGAAAAGGTAGCAACTCTCCCCCCTCCCCCCTTGAAGCCCTCCCCACTCCCTGACACACCCTGTAACAGTTCAGGCTTAAAATATAAAGCTGTTCTCGGAGGCTTCTGGCACAATTTAAAGCAGCTCGGTCCTTAGGGGGTGATTAAGGGGAGTCTGAGGATATATCCCTGACCCCTCACAGACAAGAGCCCAGGGGAAGTTATACCCATAGGCACCAAAGTGCTTAGTTAGGATCACAAACTGTAGCAATGACCAGATCTCAGTCCAAATGTCACCTCGGTCTCTACGAGCTGTGTGATCCTGGAGACGTAAGTTACCAAGCCTCCATTTCTTTATCTGAAACGGGCCAATACTCATGATTCCATAGGGTTAAAGGATAAGATGAGATCGTTTCTATGAAGTTCAAGCTCAAAGAATGTAGCCGTTGTTAATGTTTAACTTAGAACCCCCGTTCGGAGATCGGGACAGAATGTGCCTGCCCCAGGATGACATTTTCTGCTCTGGGTCCAGCTGCCACCAGTTACAGCTACGGCCACGGTTACTCACCCAGGTGAATCCCAAGCAGTTGATGGCATCGGCCAGCATGTCTCCCAGCAGCGACGGCCAAGAGGTGAGGGCTGGGTAGTAGGCGTGCATGTGGGGACTCTGCCAGTGCACCACCTAGAGGAACAGCGTGTCCATGTGTGGCACCAGGAAGCAGGTCTGGGAGGCTTTCCTCTAGCAGAGGCCCTCCCTGGCCACTCTAGAGGTGGGCTGACCCTTGTAAGACAGTCCAGGAAATGACACAACTCCATAAAAACATAAAACATATTCCTGGTGTTCCTGCCACCCACATGTCTCATCTTCTAGGCTACCTCATCAGTGGGGCACTTGTATGTATGCAAAGACCAGAAGGGCATATGCAAAACGAAAACTGGCATAGTAATTAGGGTTGTGGGTTCCGGATAGGGTTCACCTCAGTCTCCCATGCTTATCCCCATGCCACCGCTGCCCAGTAATAAAAGGAAGAGGAGACTATGAGCTCCAGAAGAAGAGGTTGCTTGTCCCATCCAGTTTCTTGCAAAAAGCATCTTTTGTTTTATGGGTCGCCGAGCTCTCTGGGCACACAGCTCCCACAGAGGGTCAGTGTGAATGGATTCAAAGCCATCCTTCGTTTCCCAGTGAGGATGGAGAAAGGAGAGAAAAGGGCGGGCGAAGCGCCAGCCCTCGGGCCTGGGACCCCTACCTCCAAGTTAAGCCCTGAGCCCACAGTCAGACTGAAGAACCGGATGTAAGCAGGAGCCAGGTGGATAGACAGGGCCCCACCATAACAGGCTCACTGGCCTCTTTAATTATCTAATCCGGCTTCATCTCCTTGTTGATGAAGATGCCCTGTACATTTCTGCATTTGTGCTTTTGAGCAATGCTGTGTCTCCTGACAAGCAGGCACGTCCCACACTAACAGAACCTTCCAAAACCTGCCAATTCCTAGAAAGCTACAAAACACTCACTTCCTCCACAAACCCTTTCCCAGTTCCCCAGCCCCCTCTGATCCTTTCCCTGAACCCATGGAACCCTCTCATTCTAGATGTCCCACCCTACTGAGAACTCGTTAGTCAACATCTTAGTGTACCGATACTTAGTGTACAGAAATTCTTGTAATCCCTCACTAGCAAGGACATTGTCCTAGACAATGTGTGTGGTAGAAGGAGTATACGATTCAAGTCCAAGGACACAGGTTCCAGTCCTACCTTTGTCCCTAACCACCAGTGTGACTTTGTAGGTTTATTGTGAAGCTGATGAACTTAAGCTCCAAGGTCCCGTGTTTGCATGGGTCTTTTTTGAGAAAGACACTTAATTTTATTTTCTTACAAGGGATCTCAAAATTTATATATGATGCAGACCCCATAAAAACAGGGTACTCCTCTGCACCTTAATTTCCCAGCATAAAATAAATCCTGTTTCCTGGGGTTGTCATGTGGATTGATCTGGGAGGAAACTGGCAAAATGTAAAGCACTAACGTTAATGATGAGTTAATCACATGGTGATAGACACATCATATAATCTGACTTGACTCTTAGATAATCAGACCTCTTCCTCTGGTTTTTGCCAGGCGAAATATGTGGAAGGCAACAATGATATCTTCCATTTCCCCATGCTTCATCTCATTTAATTCTCAGAGTAGCCCTATGAGATAGGTTCTCCCGTTAACCCGTTTTACAGATAAGAATCGGGGCCGGCTAGTGTCAAGCAGCATCCCTGTGATCACCCACACCTCACAGAGACAGATGACAGTGCCAAGACAGAAACCCAAGGCTCTCTGACCCCAGGGCCCAAGCTCCTGAACAAGGTGGCACCCTGCCTTCTCTCCCTCAGCGGCTCTCTCTCTCTACCCCCATGAAGCGCAGAGGAGGTCTTTCTAACCAGACTGGGAATTAAAGCAGAAGAGCAGTTAATCTCTTTGTGTCTAGGAGATGGCAGGGAGGGAAAAATGAATCCAGTCTTCACTGCGGTGTTGGTCAATGTGAGAAAGCGAAGGGCCAATCGCTTTCAGGCCATCTCTCAGAGGCGTTGGAAGACTGGGCCCTCATTATCAGTGTCCTTAGTGGCAGTATTTTGGAAACCCCAAAGAAGGGCTTCCATCCCCTAACCCTATCAAGAGGCAATTATCTGTTCTTGCAAGATAAATATGATAAGATAAGCCAGAGGAACCCTTATCAAGAACAGACAGACCTCTGTTCCAGAAATGAGCCTCTCTGACCACACCCTCAGCAGCTGTTGGAATTACAATCAACAAATCAGCTCATTTCCACCCCCTCTGACAGTTGCTCTCAGTTTCACTACCAAATTACAGTTGGTCCCTCAGCAGATTACATTTTACAGAATGAAATCCATGAGATAATCTTATCGGGGTGCTAGCTTTACGATAAAGCGTAACGATACAGAAATTTTGCAAAAGATGCTTGTGAAATAGGCTGAGTGGTCAGAGAGAGATGACTAATTGGTTTTGTACAAGACTGCCGACCACTACGTTTGTACAGACTTACTCTGAGTTTGGATAATTTGTCATCCCTGCCTCCGGGCATATTTCTGTCCCATCTAAAGCTTTTAGGGGATGATGGAAGCAAATCCCAAGTCAGCCTCGGGAGGTGTCTGGACACATGCCGTTCAGGACACCAGTGCCCCAAGCAGACAGAGTGAGGAGAACAGCCAGCGTGTTGGGGTCCCACTGAAGGGCGGCGCCTGGGTGCGCAGGCTCAGGCTGGAGCACTCAGTCATACACGAGAGGAGGTATCAGTGTAGGAGAAAGAGCCTGTGGAATAAGACTGGCCCAGGGCTAAAATCTTGGATCTGCCACCCTACAAACTCTGTAACTTTGAGAAAACAATTAACATCCCTGAGCCTCAGTTTCCTCATTTGTAAAACAGGGATTGTAGGGTCACTGTAGGATAGAACCAGCCAGCCTGTAACGGGGCTCATCCAGGGCCTGGCATGTGACATGGAGCTCAGTAAAAGGCAGCCCTTCTGTGGGAGGAAGACTGGTGCTCTCACTTTTAGCCTGAGCACCTTGGCACAGCTCCTCGCCCATGGTGGCCAGGGACAGCATCACAGCCCACAGAGGCGGGCCCCAGCCCAAGCACCAGCCAGCCTCTGTCTGCTCCCTGGCCCTGCCAGTGCTGTCACCAGGCTGTGCTCTTTGTTGCCGGGAATATATGATCCAGGGAAGATCCCTCTCTACTCCTGAAAAGCAGCTCAATCGTGAGACCTCCCCTTGGTAGTGGAGGACACCATTCCCACCTCCAGGAGGAGAAACGAGGGGGCTGCCAGGGTCTCATTCAGCTCCCAGGACCTCTCTATGTGACTATCGGGGTGCCCTAAGGTAGGGTATCTTCTCGGCCTCCTTCCTTCCCGTCAGCCAGTCTCCGCATTCTGTGGGAAAGTCCCTGGCTCTGCCATCTGGGACTTCGGGGACTGTCTCCAGCCTCCTCTCTCTGTCGTGCTCTCCACATTGGCCTTTCCCCTCAGACCCGATGTTCATCCTTACCTCATCCCATTCGACTGTCGTGCATCCATCAGACTAGGCCCGGGGGTGAGGTGCTAACGCCCTCCGGCCTCCCACCCAGCACCACAGGGCAGCCCTGGCTTCAGAATCCTAATTTCAAAGTCCTGGCCCTCTACATGCCCACACGACAGGCTGGCATTTTGGTGCCCAGGTGGCAGGCTTACCCAAGGCAGGCCTGTCTTCAGGCCTACTGCCCGCCCTCCAATGCCCCGAAACCCAGGGTCACCCTTGTGGTGACTGTAGCTCACCCCAGGCATGATGATTCGCTCGATGTCCCCAAAGATGCTGTCCCAGCTGTCAGGTTCCTGGGGAGCACTCTCCGGCAGCTGGGCTCGCAGGTAACCGGGCCGGATGTCCGGAGTCACACGCCGCTCCCGCACAGTGCTCAGGTACTGGCAAATGTACTCCACCATCTCCTTTCCTACGCGGGAGGAGGAGATACCAGCCTCATGTCCGCCAACTGGGCCTGGCCAATCCATGCCTGACCCCCCTAGGTCAGGGCCAAGAGACTTGGTGAAGAAGGGGATGGACCCGTGGGCTGATGCGGAGACGGTCTGATGCCCAGCATCAGCCGTGTCTTCAGAATTTAAAAATAAGTGAGGGTGGGGGCGCCTGGCTGGCTCAGTCAGTAGACCACGCACCTTTTAATCTCAAGGTCGTGGGTTTGAGTCCTGAGTTGGGGGAAGAGATTACTCAAAATAAAAAAGGGGGGGCGTCAGTTAGGTGACCAGCTCTTGGTTTCAGCTTGGGTGATGATCTCAGGGTCATGTGATCAAGCCCTGCGTCAGGTTCCAAGCATGGCACAGTCTGCTTGGGACTCTCTCTCCCTCTCCCCATCCCCCTCCACCCCATCTCACCCCACCCCTGGTTCCCTCTCTCTCTCTTAAATAATTAAATAAATATTTTTTTAAAAATGAATGGAAAAATAAGTAAGGGAATGAATGACCAGTGGAGGGAGTGTGTGAGTGAACAAACGAACAAGACAGAAAATCATGAAATATAAAACTCAAGCACTGAAGTAAAATATTTATTTTTCCTCCCCTTTCCCTTATCCATATCAACCTTGATTGTCTCTTCTACCTTTCCTTTCTTCTCAAAAACAGAACATCTAATTAATTCACTACCTTACAGGTTTATCAGAATCTCTGTGGCTCTTTCTACACACACACACACACACACACACACACACACACACACACACACCCTATACTCTTTGTTAGCATAGATGGCAAACTCCCCTGCCAGGTCCTGATACAAGTTGAAAAATCTACTTGCTCACTGTTCCCATTGGACCAGTAATTCTCACTTTTGGACCCCATGGACTTCTTTGAGAATCTGATGAAAACTATGGGCTTGCACGCACAGAAAAGTGCTGTATAATTTCTGAGGCTCATGGCATCCCCAAAGCACAGCCATAGACCCAGACCAAGAATCCTGCACTAGCCTTAAGTCTTGGGAAAATGCAAAACCGTGTCTTTCTGTTTGTTTGTGTCAGGTTTTTATTTAAATTCTTGTTAGTTAACATATAGTGTAATATTAGTTTCAGGAGTATGCAAAACCAGGTCTTAATCACTCAGTTTCTTTCCCTCTGCTTGCGCCAACACCTCAATGCTTAGGACATTTCTTAGATGCTCAAAAAAAAAAAAAATCAAATGAATGAATGAATAAATAAGGAAGAAAAATAGCCAATTCAAATACTCTGAAGTGAGTATAAATTATTTTTTTCTCCCCTTTCATTTCTCCAGGACAGGGCTTCAGTCTTCAGTGCCTTTGTCTCTCGCTCCCTCTGAGTCTCCCTCTCTGCTTCTCTCCCTTTCTGTGTCTGTGTGCTCATCTCCCTCTCTCTGTCTCTCTCAATATCTATAATTCCTCCTTAGTACTCCTTAGGCTTTTCTTCCCCCTGCAAAAATAATAATAATAATAATAAGATAAGATAAAACAGAGAGAAGGAGAAGGAACCTGATTTCTTGCCTCTGCACCAGCTCATGGAAGATTCTCATAAGCAGGACCAATCCCAGAAAAAAACCATGAAAGAGAAAGAGAGGGATTTTGACACCCTTCGCTCTCCTCCAACCCTCCCACAGTTGGTGCTTCTTGTTACTGCAGTGGCACCCCAGCAGGGCTCTGAGAGCACTGGACCTGGCCCTGCACTTGCCCAGAGGCAACAAGGAATGTATTCGTGTTCTACACACAGGATGGATGTCCTCGGGAACCTGCTTGAGGCTCTTGGGAAGCCCGGAAATAAGCAAGTGCAGACTTGAGTTGTAAAGCCGCTAGCTACTTAGGTCTGGGTGGAGGGGAGAGGAAAAGTTGGATTTAACGCGGGACAATACCTTACGGCAAAGAAATCTTAGGCAGCATAACTTACCGGTGGGGAGGAAGATATAAAAAGTCACAAAGAGAAAAATTAGAAGCAACTATCTCCTGTCCCTCTTAAGGAGCCATGCGGGGCAACAGGCTAACCGTTTGGCTTCTCTCATTCCACAAGGCTTGGAGATACAGTAGCTGCTCACTAAATACGTAGGAAATGAAGGACTAAGTGAAAGAACAGCACGGACAGATTCACACATACAGAAATGAATACATAGAAAGGATTTGCAGTGACTACAGAATACTCGAGGAAAATTTTTTTCTGCTTCAGAATATGAATAATCCCCTTTTCCCATTGAGTGGCTGAGGAATCCAAATCCTCTCTTCGTGAGAAAGGGGACAGGAAAAGGGAGACACAGGAGAGTGGGAGAGGGAGGATGAAAAAGAGGTTGAGAAAGTTTTAAATTCCAGGGTCCCACATTCCTTCCTCAGGAAAAAGTTTGTGGAAACCAACTCTCGGAGGGCAATTCTACTCCTCCTGTCAAATGACAACCCCCCCCCCGAATCTAAGGGCGGAGCCCCAGCACCTGCTCCTGCAGAGAGGGGTGCCCAGCGCTCACCTCTCTCTCTGTACTCCTCGGGCTCCATCCTCTGCCCGGGGCTGCGGCGTCTCACAGGCACGGAGGGCACTGAGGGCGGACTCCTGGGCGGCCCGTGTGGGGCTTTATTTAAAGGGTTCTCCCTTCTTCCACCTTAGCTCCACCCTTCGAAGGCCCTTCCTCTAGGCTTCATGAACTCCACCCCTTCTTCCCCCGATTCTGGTCAAGAGATCCAGGATAAAAGGCCCTTCTAAATTAAACAGTGCACTCAGCAACGCAAACCTGCAGGCAGCCTTTCCGCCCCTGGCCTCGGGCCATAGAGCCCCCGCCTCGGACAGAGCGCCGGCTCCGCAGCCCGGAACAAAGCCAAGGGTGTGCGGAGGCAGTGGCCCGCACGAGTGGTGTTATTCCTGCTATTGCTTCTCTCTCAGCAGCACGGAGGGAGGGACAGGCACTTAGAGAGACGCTGCCCGGCTGGCCACTTGGCGCTCAGGGACGCGCAGATACTATCATCTAACACAACGGATTTTCTAAATGACCACTTAACACTTACTGCTGTAGAGAGATGAGAAAACCCAGATAAGCAAAAAGAATAAAAATGGAAACATCACCCAGGCTTCATCGCTTTTAGCGCTTGAAAGGGTGCGTGTGTGCATGCGTGTGTGCGTGCGTGTGTGTGTGTGTGTGAGAGAGAGAGAGAGAGAAAGGGCACGCAGACACTATCGTGAGGAGGGCAACACGACTCTTGGAGCCTCCTTCTGAGGAAAAAGGAATCAAATGCATGCTCTGGTTTCTCTTCAAACGGCATAAAACTCTCACCTTTTACTAAAGATTTCTGTGGAGAGGGAAGAATTGAAAAGTGATCAAATGCAGGGCTCCCGGGGCGGGGGGGGGGGGGTGCAGTCAGGGAAGCGTGGGACTCTTGGTTTGGGCTCAGGTCTGGGCTCAGGTCGTGATCTCAGGGTCGTGAGATGGAGCCGCACCCTCTGGGTTTAGTGGGGAGTCTGCTTGAGATACTATCTCTCCCTCTGCCTCTGCCCCCCCAACCCATGCTCTCTCTCTCAAATTAATAAATAAATCTTTTTTTTTTTTTTTTTAAGTGATCAAATGCTTTCAAATTGCCAGATAGAACAGAACTTTTTTGTTTCTGGTCTTCATCTTTCTTGTCCTCTTGGTGGTATTGGACAGCTACTACTTCCTGGTCCTTGAGGCATACAGCCTCTCTGGGCTCCCAGGAAATGGCCTGTCACACTCTCCCTTCTACCTCTCTGCTGTCTGCAGCCTCCGATCAGGCTGTCGATGTTGGCATGCTTCAGGGCATTACCCTGCTCTCATCTTTCTCCTGAGGTGGCCTTATCCATTGTTGTGGCTTAAATGTTACCTATGTGACATCCACATAGATATAGAGCCTGTGTCAAATTTATACCATGAGGCCCTCCCAGTTTCTGAGCTCCAAAATCTCTTATCCAACTGCCTACCTGACAAATCCCTTTGCGTGGTGTCAACAGATTCTGTGTCTGAGGAGAAGCCTCTCCCCAGCGGCCGTCTTGCCGTATCCTCGCATGATGAGGAAAGCGAGCTCTAGTCTCCTCCTCTTCCTATGAGACCCTAATCCCTTTATGAAGACTCCACCCTCCAGAATTTACCTAAACCTAGTTTTCTCCTAATACTATCGCTTTGGGCGTTGGGCTTCAACATATGAATTTGAACATGCAGTCCATAACAGAGTACATCTTAAAACTGGTGAAATCTGAATTAGGCCTAATTAACAGTATTGTACTGATGTCAATTTCCTAGTTTTGACGTTTTACTAAAGTTATGTAAGATATTACCATTGGGAGAAGCTGGTAACAGAATGATTTGTAGACTCCACACTATTTGTGCAACTTCTTCTGGATTTATAATTATTTTAAAATAAAAGATTTTTTTAAATTGCTACTGAAAATTTTACAGTGAGATACCACTTCACACCCACTAGGATGGCTATAATCAGACAGATGGCACCTGGCTGGCTCAGTCAGTAGAGCATGTGACTCTTGATCTCGGGGTGGTGAGTTCAAGCACCACATTGGGTGTAGAAGTTACATTAAAAAGAAAAAGAAAAGGGATAATAACAGATGTTGGTGAGGGTGTGGAGAAATTAGAACCCTCATATGTTGCTGGTGGGAACATAAAAATGATGTAGCCATTTTGGAAAACGGTCCTTCAAAAAGCTAAACATAAAGTTCCTTTACGAATCAACAATTCCACTACTAGGTATACACTTAAGAAAATTTATGTCCACACAAAAATTTATACATGTTGTTCATAGCAGCATTATTCATAATAGCCAAAAAAGGGAAACAACCCAAATGTCCATCCGTGGATGAATGGATAAATAAAATGTGGTATATCCATACAACAGAATATTACTCCATAAGAAAAAGGAATGAAGCATGATCCATGATACAACATGGATGAACCTTGAAAACATGCTAAGTGAAAGAAGCCAGTCACAAAAGACCACATATTGTATGATTCTATTTATATGAAATGTCCAGAATAGTCAGATCTGTAGAAACAGAAAGAAGGTGACTGGTTACCAGGAGCTGGGTCAGAGGGGAAGGAGTCAGAGCTTGACAGCTAAGGGGAACAGGGTTCGTTGGGGGAAAAGGGTGATGAAAATGCTTTAAAATTGATTCTTGTGATGGTTGCACAACTCCATGAATATACGAAAAGCAGTGAATTATTCATTAAGTGGGGGATTTTATAACATGGGAATTATGCCTCAAAAAACAGGGATGCCTGGGTGGCTCAGTCGGTTAAGCATCTGCCTTCGGCTCAGGTCATGGTCCCAGGGTCCTGGGATTGAGCCCCGCATCGGGCTCCCTGCTCAGCGGGGAGCCTGCTTCTCCCTCTGCCTGCCGCTCCCCCTGCTTGTGCTCTCTCTCCCATACTCTCTCTCTGACAAATAAATAAATAAAATCTTAAAAAAAAAAAAGAAGAACCAGATTAAAAAGAACAAGTATGCCTGGGGAACATAAGGTCTTTGGGGGGAAAAAATGGCCTAGTGGATTTGGACTCCAGCAGTATTGCCAATAGTCTAAATCTTTCATGAGACCAGGGGTGGAGAAGTAATATTGACGGTGATAATAGTTGACATTTATCTAGCACATAAAAAGTAGCAAGCCCCACGTTAGGCATTTTAAATAGAAAAGTTTGTTATCTTCTCTTCAAGTGTTGCATCTGTGCATTATCTTTCTTCTATCCTTCTGCAACTCCAGTTATGCTATGTTAGACTTTGTTACCTTATCTCATATATATAATATATATAGTATTTATGTGTGTATTATACATATTATATAAGTTATAAAAATTACATAGATGTATGTTATATATGTATAATATTCTTTTCTTTATTTTCCATCTTATCTCTCTGAATTTCAGATGGAAATTTTTTCTGCCCTATCTTTGAGTTCTCTCTTCAGATGTATCTAATAGGATAATAAACCTGGTTATTGATTTCTTAATATGTTACATTTTTTCAGTTCTAAAGTTTTCATTTAGTTCTTTTTTTTACAGTTTTTAATTTCTTACCAAATCTTTTCATCTTGACTATTATTTCCTTGAACATAATAAACTTTTTTTTTAATTGCCACTGAACAATATAAAAGACCCATATAAATGGAAAGACATACCACATCCCCAGAAAGAAGACTCACCATCACAAATATACCATTTTTCCTAAGTTAATTTATACATTTAACACAATCCCAGTGAAAACCCCAGCAAGAATTTTGGGTATTCTGTTTTTTTTTTTTTAAAGGTTTTTTTATTTATTCATTCGAGACACAGAGATACAGAGAGAGAGAGAGAGAGAGAATATGAGCAGGGGGAGAAGCAGAGGGAGGGGGAGAAGCAGGCCCCCCGCTGAGCAGGAAGCCCAACGCCGGGCTCAATCCCAGGATCCCGGGATCATGACATTAGCCGAAGGCGGACGCTTAACCAGCTGAGCCACCCAGGCACCCCTGGGTATTCTGTTTTGGATTTCATTAGCTACTTTTATAGTTCACAAGGAAAAACAGCAAGGAAAACTCTGTAAAAGAAAAGTAACTAGCAGGTTCTGTTCTCACCAAGAAGGTATTAAAATATGTTATGAATCATCAATAATTAAAAGAATGAGAAACTGATGTATGAACAGACAAAAGGAAAAATAAATTCAAATACATACAGGAATTTAGCATATAATAAAAATGGCATCTCAGACCAGAGGAGAAAAAATGAACTACTTAATAAATAGGAACAAGGAGAGCCGTCTGGAAAAAAGTTGGATTCCTCACACCAAGAACTTAGATAAATTTTTTTTAATCAAAGATTTAAATTTAAAAAAATCACACCATACAATTATATTAGCACACCATAATCAAGATAATGGTTTCACAGATGTACACATATGTCCAAACTCATCAAATTATATGCATTAAATATGTGCAATTTTTTTTGTATGTCAGTTATTAGAGGCCACTTTTGGCAAACAGGCTTGAGCGATGGAATGTGGAAAGGGCCCTCAGCGACCCTCTGGCTGAACACAGCCGGGCCCATCAGCTGACCCACCTCAAAATCTCCATAGGCTAACTGACCAATGGGCTGTTTACTTAGGCACAGTTGCCAAAAAAGGGGAAATTCTGTACATCTCCATACCTCCTCACACTCCCTCTTTATAAACAGCCCCGCCCCGCCCACTGCCTCGGTTGTCTCTCTTCTCTTGTTCTGTCCCAGCTCCTTGCAGTGTATTCAGTAAACTTCTGTCTCCTTTGTTCTGCCTCTGGTGAGCTCTTTCACTGCCCACCCCCACCCCAGGCTTCCCTCAGATCATCACCCCACATTTGAGGGCCCTCATCTGATCAGGAGATACCCCATTTAGACGCTACAAATCATACCTAAATAAAGCTGTGAAAAAAAAGTAAGATGAAAATTCCATGAAGAAAATTCAGGAGCTCTGCTCCTCAACCTCAAAGTGAAGAATCTATTTTAACTATGGCTCAAAATCCAAAAATCATAAATTCAACCACTTTAAAACACACACACACACACTCAAGTAAAGCCAAAAGATAATGACAAACTGAGAAAAAAAATATTTGTAACTCACA